GGCATACTCAAATTTAACCTTCTGCCATAACCACAATAAGCATTCTAACCAGTTCTAGTGCCCTTGCTCAAGGGAACAAAAATGTGGTCTATTCTCCACTGAATTACCCATGTGGAACTGACAGGAACTAGTGCTAGTTATGTAGCTCTGAACTTTAACAGGAACAGTGCAGGCTGTTAAGTACTACCCAGCAGTGTGGGGTGGGCAGGGGAGAGGCTTGCAGTCAACTGCTTGATTATTCTACTTTGCTAGAGCAAGTAAGTGCTTCTTACAATAGACACTCTCGCTTGTAATATTATAGGTTATGACAGGTAAAGAGGTTTCCTGCTGCTTTAAATAGCTACTTAAGATGTTTCTTCTATTACAAGCTTTTTTAAGTTCAAGGCTTTCTGAAATAGCACATTGGGCTGTACATTAGCAGTGTTTTTTGAAGCATGCTCTACTATGCTCTATGACACTAAATACAGTAGCTAGCAATTTGAGTGCACTGAGCAAAATAGCTGTCAGCGAGGTCTTTTTGTGACCTCACTTCTCAGCTTGCATTTACCATTCTTCCTATTGTAAACCCTTAATTCACATCTTGCTGAAACTGAAGTGCTTTTGCTTTTTTTTTTTTCTTCCAAAACTCAGCTTGGTGGAAACCTTGCTCGTATAAGAGGAAAGAAGGGTTTTACCTGTGGTTGTTTGATATATATGTAACATACCAGATAACTACTTTGATTCTGCATTAGGAATATTTAACTCACCTACTTGAAGACAAAATTTGAGATGGAGTCATGCAGACCATGCTGATCCTTCTGGTAGGAAAGCAGTGATGGTCCTTTCAATCTAGCCTTAAGGTAGAAAAAAAAAAAGAAAGCTTTCTGTGCTTTTTTTTTTCCCCTTTCCCCCTTTTTTTTTCTTGAAGAATTAGAGCTCTTCAGGTGCCTGTTAATCACTAAATATTGCAGTTCTTACTACACAATTATTATAAATGCTATCTTAAATGTGACACTGTTGATTGTTTCCCCCTTACTTCCTCTAAAATCATCAGCAGGATTAAATAACAGGCCCTCAGTCTTACACTTAATACTGTCGAGCTATGGTGCAATTTAGTATTTTCCAATGCATAATGTTTACACAGAGGAAAAGGGAGTGAGAAAAGCTTAATTACAAAAAGAAGGGATTGGAGAACAGGTAAGAGCACTCACTGGTAAGTGTCTTGAAAGAGGCAGGTATTGCTGCAGCATCATAAAGCAAACCTTCAGTGGGGTACTATCTTAATAAGGGGAGGAAAACCTAGAATTTTTTGGTATTTCTGGACTGCAAGTACATCCGTATCTTACTGTCTGACTAGGTCTGACAGCTTTACAGAAGCTTAATTCATCAGTCATCCTCTGAGGTAGAGATGGAGCTAAGGTGCTACTCTTTGTATCCATTTGTATGTAATACCTGACTCTACAAAAATCTATTACAGCCAACATCCTTCAAACCTCTCTACTGAAAAATGAGAGGTGATTAGCTAATAGGCCAGTAGATTTCAGTGCTGTATCTTAACCTGTAATTTCTATGAAAAATCATTTCTTAATGGTAATGGTCAAGTTTATATACTGCTTCTTGGATCTTTTTCAATAGTACAATCAATTGACAGAAACTGAGAAGTCCTAAAACACCCTAATTTAATGATTTTTTTAAACCTAACAGTTCAATTAACCTTGTGAATTGATTTTTTTTTAAAAAAGCATAGGCTTTATTATAGATCTTTAGATGATTATGTTACTGAGACTCAATTTAGTGCTAGAATCTCCTGTCTGGTAAAAAAAAGAGCTGCTGACACATCTAGTATTTCCACAACAAATGAGCACAAAGCACACCAGTAAACTAACTTTATCTTTCAGCCAGCACCTGCTAAACATACATAATGTATGTATGCATGTGGGTTTGAAGAGGAAGTGACAGTTGGAAATTTCGGACACGGATAACTTCTTCACAGAACAGAGCTAACAAACGTTGAGACATCTCTGTTTCTGACAAGTTGGTCTTGCCTTAATGACTTCAAAGGAAAACTGGTCAGTTGTGTAACAGACGGACTTGGAAAATAGCTATGATGCTATCACAAGGTTTAAATGCTTCTACAAGCTTAGCAGTCCTCTGAATTTCAGTGAATTGTATCAGTTTTCATAAATATAAACATAAATAATTTTTTAAAATTAACCAGGACTTGGTAAGTCTGTGTCATTCCAGCAGAGGGCAGTGGTGATATATTTCAGAACACCCTTAAGGACACTGTATTACTTCAGTAAAGTTTGTCACGCACACTGTTGAAAGAGAGGATGGTACACAAGCAATATCACAGGAGAAAGCGACAAAAAAAATTTAATTATCATAACAACGGGGAAAAAAAACCCCTTAAAACACCTAAACAAACATATTAACAACAGAAGCAAGGAAGAGTCACACAATCAGTAGAGGAAGTGAATATCAGCATGGAGGGAGGTGGTGCACATATGGAAATTTTATGCTACGCAATAATGCTTTGCCCTAAATTCACTAGATAAAGGATTTGTTTTTTAATGACTTTTCTCTTAGTGAGCAATTTAAGTGATTTTCTTCTGTAAACTTTACTGAATTCTGATGGTCTTCAGTTTCGGAACTTAAACAAACAAACAACTTTAACCACATTCACCTAAAAGACTAAGTCTTCAATATTGCTGCTAACCTGCAAGAGCCTGCATAAGGCAGTAAGATAAGGTGATCACAGAAGTTCCTTGAAAGAAAAATCAGGCCATGTTGGAATCTTCACTTTCAACCACAGCTGCTTCTTGTTCTGCTGTCTTTGCTGTACTGGATTTCTTTTTCTTCCTTTCCTTTTGCTCCATGTTACTTGATACAATTTCTTCACTCCTCTGTGTGATATATTTTAGCTGAGAACAATAAAATAATCATCTTAACAAAGACTTCCTTTTTTCATGTATCTTAAGAAAAATTAACTGGGCAAAATCTTATTACTATCTATCTGTTTAAAGTCCTTACAAGGCAGAGAAGTGCATTTTCTGTTTTTATGCCATGCTGAGTACAATTTTGGTAGTTAACAAGTATCATATAATGACAAGGATTTCCTCTTTGTGAAGGTACTGTACTCTTCTTCAAAAATAAGGATTTACAAGTAATGTCTGAAAGTATGAATGAATGGAAGTCCACTGGGATTTATATAGACCAACATTTGAGAGAATACAACAGTGCAAATCCTCAGCAGCTGGAGGAAGACTCAAGCTATACATGATTTTAAGTTAAAACAAAGAAACACAACATCAGGAAAAAAAATTACTTCCCCAATTGCCAGTGTTGCAACACATCTGCTGGTTATTGCATTTTTGTATTTGGAATCTCAGCAGCTGTACTGTAGTCAAACATTTTTTCTTGAATTGCAGTCAGATCTATGTCCCTTAGTGAGGCATAGCATCAAGAAGAAGATGAAAACCTAAACAAATTGCTGAGAACATCCATCAGGACAGTCTGGCCTATCTATCTTCAGCAAACCAGTGAAACAGTTGCTTCATCATTTACAGCCTTCAATCCCAGGCTCTTGAGAATTAACATGTTGATTTAAAAAGAATGCTGTGAGAAAGTAAGTTAATCTCACCAGAGATCTGCTCCTTCTAGCCAAAAGTTTCACATCTTCTAAAGTGACTGTGCTTCGTTTCGCATGCCTGTATGAAATACAAAAATTAACCTTAATGTGTTTGCCAGCATTGGTTATGTGAGGCCTGAAGACATGTAATTGAGAACAATAACTAATAGGACTAAATAGGGACCCAGTAAACCAAATGTGCCTATTTATTCTAAATACAATACACAAAAGCCTTTTTACAAATGCATTTGTGCACAGCTCAATTCCCACACTTCCGCCCAGAAACACAGTAGAATTTAGAAGCCAGCACATCAAGCAGCATGACTTTTATTTCCAGTAGGCTGCTGGGTGAGTTTTGACTCAGAGCACCACACATCAATTCTTTAAAATATTCTCTTCCTTGGAGTAACCAGATGAAATGCTAGTAAACATCTGCCACTCCCATATCATCTGGTACCATTATCTAGAACCCATTTGACAATTATATGAAGTAATTAATTTAAGATAAGGAAAAACAGAGGGGATTGGTGGAGGGATGAGAGATTTCTCTGAAAAGTCATAAACAGAGAATTTTGGTGGTGTTGAAGGACAATGAAACCTTGACCTGTACTTCACAGATAGGCTAAAGAACCCTTTGAAATTGAATTATAAGAGATATTTTAAAGATTATCCAGTTGTTTGAATGGTGTGCATGAAAAGCAAACGTTTGTAACAATCCAGTGTTCCAGTACATACCTTGCAAACATTTCAAGATCTTTTGCAAAGTTTTCTGGATGAGAAAAAAAAAAAAAAGGAGATACGATGTATTTTAAAGTTCTTGGAATAGAAAAAGATGCCTATTACTTTTCTATTGCTATTTCTAAAGTCAAAAAATACAGCTCAGATGCATAACGCCTATTTAATTTTCAAATATTTCATAAAGAATATAGGAATGATGAGGCTGAAGAAGGGTGAATACATACCAACAAGCAAAAGGTCCAGTACTTTCTATGTAAGAACTGAAAGGATGTTCTTCATGCACAAGCCTCTATGCAAGACTATTAGCTAATAAATTCCTCCCCATACAAAACATTATCACATTAAATTATGCATTTAATCTCTCATCTTGAGACACTTCAATAACTCCTGATATAGCAGGGACATACATTTGTGCTAGCGCATGTGAGAAACTTCAAACTAAACGATCAGTGGTAACTAGTTCCTGCACTACTAAAAAAAAAAAAAAATCACTCCCCAGCACTTGTTTTTGAACAGACACACACAGACTTCTGTACCGCACTGCCTGAAGGTGATCTCCGAAATGGCCGCAATGGTTTGCTTGCTGAACTGCAGCTCCTGCTCCTCCGCCACATCCTGGCACAGGCAGCCCACGGTGTAGTGAACTGCCGCCTTTAGCCTCTGCAACCACCCAAAGTGAGCACAGGTCAGTTGTCTACGGAGCCATTTGGCAGCATAAACCACAGCGGCGGTTTTAAAGGATACAACGTAAATTACTGTTCAAGTGCACAGACACCTTCCCCTCTCCCCGCTCCGCCT